ACCTCTGAATCATGTTCTAGAAATCAGAACATGAGTACTCAAACCCAGTCTAGGTCCTAGTTATTCACACTACCTACCAACTGGCCACTCTTCACAAAGTAGGCCAGGAGAGCCCCAGAGGGGCAGGCCATCGGGAAGACTTTCTGGGCATTTTATGTAATTTTTGGTCTCACCTGGCTGATTGCTTGCACATTCACTCATTTATTCTTTCTTTCTTTTTAAAAAAAAAATATATTTTATTGATTTTTTTTACAGAGAGGAAGGGAGAGATATAGAGAGCTAGAAACGTTGATGAGAGAGAAACATCGACCAGCTGCTTCTTGCACACCCCCTACTGGGGATGTGCCCGTAACCCAGGTACATGCCCTTGACCGGAATCGAACCTGGGACCTTTCATTCCGCAGACCAATGCTCTACCACTGAGCCAAACCAATTTCGGCTATTCATTCTTTCATTCAACCAACACACTCTGCCTTCCTTCAGAAGTATTGTCCCAGTTCTTATCTGAAGCTGATCTCTCCACTTGATCTCTCACAGTGTTCTGCATGATTAGTGTTTCTCTCTCCCTCCTTGATCCCTGCCACCAAAGAAACATGTTGTAATTTCTCATCTTTACAAAACCACCCTCACTGGCTCCTATATCCCTATCCAGCTACTAACACATTTCCCTGCTCCCTTTTAAAGAAAATGCCGGCAGAGCTGCCTACATTCAGGATCTCCCATTATCCATTCTTTGGGACCCGCTTCAGCAGGCTTTCCGCTCCACTGGTCCACCGGAGGAGTTCTTGCTACGACATCAGTGACCACCACATTCCAGGTCCAGTGCCAGTCCTCAGCTGTCCTCTGCCTGACCTGCCACAGCCTGACACAGATGCATCGCACCCCTCCTCCTCCACAGGGTTTCTTTGCTTGGCTTGGACAATACCTCACTTTGCTGAGCTTCTGCTGTGCTCTTCTGACTTTTGTCCCTACTATTGCGAATTTTCCTGCCTTGAGGCTCAGTTTTCAGGACTTTCCTCATAATCACTCTCCTGGTCATATCAGCTTGTCTCATGGCTATAAATATCACTTATATGCTGACAACTCCTATAATTATATCTCACCAGACCTCTCCTATCTCCCAACTCTTACATCTATTTACTTATTCTACATTTTCACCAGGATGTTTAATATGTATCTCCAACCTAATATATCCAAAACTTAATACACTTAATAGATCTCTAGCAATCTGTCCACAAACCTGATTCACTCATGGTCTGTCACATCTCAGGAGATGGCAACTCCTTTGTTCTAGCTGTTTAGGTCCCAAGTCATAAAAGTCATCTTTGACCTCTTTCCCCCACATCCCACTGAATATCTGATTTTTTTCATAACAAGCTGGAAATCTGGGTTTCATGTGAAATTCCCTAATTTTTAAGCATTGACAACTCAAGAAAAACAAAACACCTAAGTGAAAGAAACAAGGAGGCCACTCTATGGCTTCTCATTCCACCTACCATCGCCCGCTGTGAGAGGGAAGGCCAGCCAACCCCGGGGCTTCTTGTCCGGAGACCACCACGGCTTTCCTGAGTCCAGCAGAGGGATTTTAATTCATGCTGAGCTCCCAGAGACCCACAGGCTCTTTGGGGAGTATAATGGCCTGAATGTCCAGGATAGTCTATTTCAGCTTAAAAATCTGGATCACTATTTTACATGAACTTGAAACAAAAAAGAAATATAACTATCTGCCTGAATTTTCAGCCCTTCTTAATTGTGCATGTGTGTGTGTGTGGGGGGGGAGTAAGAAAAAAATGTTTCTAGAGATGGATCTCTGCCAAAAAAAAAAAAAAAAATCAGAAAACAACCCACAAAAATAAACAAACAGAAAACCCCACCAAAAGCATTTTCTGACAGAGGGAAGGTAAAAAAATGCTCTCTGATCTGGTTTCAACATTCCTAAAAAGGCAGCAAAGGGCTGAGAGAAAGCATTGCTTGGAACAGTGTTACCACAGAACAATAGTCCTGCTGCACCCAAAGGTGAGCTGCAAGGACACAGCACTAACTCCTGCCAGGCTGCAGGCCAACTGATTAACTGTGGAGCTGCTCCCCAGTTCCCCCTTCATCACATACTCTAGGACTATGCTAATAAACTAAGGACATTTCCAAAATAGCACTATGTTTTGAGCGAGGAAGACAGGACCATCCTAACCATTTTGATAATTTAGATTTCAAACTTGTTTTCTGAGAAATGTATTTAGGGAATATTAAAAAACAAAACAAACAACAACAAAAAACTGGGTTTCTGAAAGAGGAGCCAAGGTCTAGGAAACAAGTCTATCTTCCCCCTAAAAACTAACTGGTCTCCATCTACTTGTTTTTCTTTGTCAAATAAAACAAATGTGAGAAGTGTCTGTGCAACCAGGCTATCACTGAAAAGGACAGTATGCTCAGTTGGGCAGTAAGGTAAAAGTCAGAATCCCAGCAAACCAATGGGATTTCTTGGCACTGGGGACCATGTTACAAGAAAACACGAATCTTTAAACACGAGGATGACCCTGTTTGAGAAGTGAAACCAACTGACAGGATGTCAGATTCTTATGTCTTAACATATTTATCCCAGGACGAGTGCTCACTGTGCAGAACTCAGTGGGATGGTGGGTAGAACTGCTCATACTATTTTTAAAAATAATACTTTATTTAAAAAAAAAGAAAAAAATATATATATATTATTGATTTCAGAGAGGAACGGAGAGGGAGAGAGAGAATCATTGGTCAGCTGCCTCCTACATGCCCCCTACTGGGGATCGAGCCTGCAAGCTGGGCATGTGCCCTTAACTGGAATCAAATCTGGGACCCTTCAGTCTGCAGGCCAACACTCTATCCACTGAGCCAAACTGGCTAGGGCTGCTAACACTATTTTTTAAAATATATTTTTATTGATTTCAGAGAGAAAGGGAGGGAGATATAGAAGCATCAATGATGACAGAGAATCAATGACTGGCTGCCTTCAGCATGCTCCACACTGAGGATTGGGCCCTTAAGTAGGGCATGTGCCCTGACCGGGAATTGAACCGTGACCTCCTGGTTCATAGGTCGACACTCAATCACTGAGCTGAACCAGCCTGGCTGCTCACACTATTAACGATTACTTCGCCTTTGCCCTCTCATCTTCTTGCTTGCTTAGCTGGATCCAGTCAAATTAAGCCACTGCCCTATTACACACAAATTCAGTTCTAGGGGTCAGCTATCATAGTTTTCTGAAACACGGTTCAAACAGGCAGGGTTATGAGATAGTATTAAAATGAATCAGGCCCACATTGTCAAGCAAGACAGGTTATTCATAAGGCCAAGGACTGAGAGGCAATTAATGCTTCTCTTATTCTATCCCTTGACAATGATACCTGTTGTTTGCTTTCCTCAAACCACAGTTGGTATATTTTTGAGTTTGCCTGTATTGTGCTATAAAGAGGAGAGAATCAAGAGGCTACAGTATGTTGGAGAAACATGCCAAGAGAATAGGTAGGAGGAAAGCACACAACATACTTATAATCCTTATCTGGGGCCATGACAGAGTCTGTACAGAAAAGGAAACATTTCTACCATGAAGTCCGTGCTCATTCCTGCGGTGCTAGACTATCGGGAGGACTTTGGCTAAGGAACCATGAAGAGCATGTTTCGGCTCCCTCAGGAATGCTCTGGCGCGACAAACTGGAGACCCAAGCCCAGCTCAGTGTGAGCTCGGCTGCTCTTGGCTACGTTTCAGGATCAACCTGACAGCTTGGCCTCTGCTCAGGAAACCTGAGTCATCTTTCTGGTTCAACACAGTGAGTCAGAGGCTGAAGGATGGGACCCAAACACTCACAGTGAGACAAGTGTTGCAACTTGGCTGCATTGGTTGCTGAATTAGAACAGCACCAGGGACAGTGCCAAACAAGCACATTGCCAAAACAATGCCCTCCACTGAGCACTTTACATGACTGAATTCACTTCATCCTCATGACAACACTTTGAGGTAAGTGTTACTTTTCTCCTTATTTTGCGTATGGGGAACTGAGGCACAGAGCCTAAGCTAGACAGTAGGTAAGGGCAGAGTAAGCCACGCACTCACCTTTCTGGCTTCAGAGATTACTTGAGATATTCCATCTCTCAAACAGAAAAGAATAACCATCTAATGCTTACTGAGTGCTCAGGCAGGTCAGGTCTGTTCCACTCACTTTACATGATTACCTCTCATACTGCTCACAGTATCCTCTGTTGTCATGGAGGCAGAGAAGTCTAACTTCTGCTGAACTGCAAGTTCAGTAACCATCAATCATCCAGGAAGTGGCTATTCCAGGATGTGAACTGAGGGGAGTCCACTCTTGGCCATGACACCACATTGCTGTTAGCATCTTGCTTAAGTCCCAGCACCACATGGAAAGAGCTATTAAGACCCTCATTTACAAATGAGGAACCAGAAACTAAGCTAGCTGCAGAAGCTGGGTCTGTACTCAATTTGTTCCTGACTATGACATACAGATGGTTTATCAGAGGTCCAGGTAACCCAGGAACTGATGGGTCCTTTCCCAATAGGCAGCTAAATGCCCTGAAGGTTATTCTAAGCAGAAAGGCATAGGGATCGATATCATCAAGGCCTGTCCCCATCACAGCCATGCTTCTTGCAAGAAAAAGACTTCCCTCAGTTTCCCATCTGTTATTGCCCTTAGTCTGACAATGCACCCTAAAATCTTTTTTTTTTTAAATATATTTTATTGATTTTTTACAAAGAGGAAAGGATAGGGATAGAGAGCTAGAAACATCGATGAGAGAGAAACATCGACCAGCTGCCTCCTGTACACCCCCCACCGGGGATGTGCCAGCAACCAATGTACATGCCCTTGACCGGAATAGAACCTGGGACCTTTCAGTCCGCAGACCGACGCTCTATCCACTGAGCCAAACCGGTTTCGGCTACCCTAAAATCTTAAATCTACTCCCCTTTCCTTACCATCCCCAACAACAGTAAAACAGTTTCCACTTACGCTTTAAATGCTGGGAGGTAGGAGTATATAGAAATGCTGCTTAGGTTATAAATAAATGGCAGGTGTTTTCTGATATCTGTTGTTGCCCAGCTGCTAAAAAACATATTCAGTAAACCCTGGTCCCCACCTGAAAGAAAAATAAAACAAAAACAAATTAAAGTCACAGACTCAAGGACTATTCAATAACTTTATAGGACTACTAGGTGGACCGGTTAATAATGCAGATTTTGTAATTAAAAAAAAACACATAATAATTTTAAGAGAAACATCAAAAGTGCTTTACTCAAAGTAATGTCTATCGCTAGCTACACATTTCCCCAATATTTCAGGTAATTTTTGGACACCATCCCAATAGGACTTTTCTTGTTTTGAGGCAAACTATTCAAAGACCCAATTTTCCACTTCTTCGTTTATTTTGAAGTGCTGCTCAGAAAGTGCATGTGCCATTGATCAGAACAAGTGGTAATCTGAAGGAGCAAGGTCTGATGACTATGGCGGGTGGATTAATACTTCCCAGGCAAGATCTTTTAACGTGTCTTTAACTGGTTTTGAAGTGTGTGATGGTGCATTATCATGAAGCAAAATTACTTTGCCATGTCTTCTGGCCCATTCTGGTTGTTTCATGATCAAGGTGTGGTTCAAATTGATTATTTGTTGTTGGTTGTAATCCGTATTAATGGTTTCACCTAGTTTTAGAAGCTCATGATACACCACATCTTTCTGATCCCACCAAATGCAGAACACTGTCTTTTTTCCGAAGTGATTTGGCCTTGCAGTCAGTGTTGATGGTTGACCTGGATCAACCATCATTTTGTGCGTTTGGAATTCTCAAAATAAATCCAGTGTTTACAAGTATCTTGAGATAAAGCATGTTCACCATAAGCTTCCCAAAGTATACAATAACTTTCAGCAGTACTTTTCTTCAAAATAAAGTAATGAATTAAAACTTTCTGCAAATGCTTTTTTGGCATGAAATTTAATATATTTAAACATAAAAGTATCTATAATGTTAACACTTTCAGAAAATTTGACATATGAAGTTTTGAAGCTTGCTGTCAACACAACAAAATAGCAAACACATCAAATTGTATATATATTAACATATGTATAACTCCATCTGTTGAAAAAAAATCCACATTATTAACCAGTACATCTGGTATATTCATAGACCTTTCAAAACAGGTACTAATTCCATGTTAAACCTAAGGACATTTTAGGAAGTGGTCATTTCTCTAAGTTAATTCATTAATTCAACAAATATTTACTGAGCAACTACTATGTGCCAGACACTGCAGCAGGCACTGGAAAGTCATTATCTTCACCAGGATTTGGGATGGGTGGGGTCAGGGGTACCAATACCAGCAAACCAAGAATCAATAAACATCATCAGAAACGGGGAGGAAGAAACAACCAAGATAATGGCATAGGTAAACACTTCTACTTGTTGCCTCTCACAATCACATCAAAACTCCAACTAAAAGACAAAACAAATATTTAGAACCATAGGAAAGCTGGTGGAGTGGAAGTTCTCAGGGGGCTGTGGGAGGAGATTGGACAAAAATCTTACATCTATGGATGAGGACATTGTGGGGGAGGGTGTAAAGGCATGGTGTGGGAACTGGGTGGAGGGGAGTTATGGAGGGAAAAAAGAGGAACAATTGTAATAATCTGAACAATAAAGATTTATTAAGCCCTAACAGGTTTGGCTCAGTGGATAGAGGGTCGGTCTGTGGAGTGAAGGGTTCCAGGTTTAATTCTGGTCAAGAGCATGTACCTTGGTTGCAGGCACATCCCCAGTAGGTAGTGTGCAGGAGGCAGCTGATCGCTGTTTCCCTCTCATTGATGTTTTTTGTTTGTTTGTTTGTTTAAATATATTGTATTGATTTTTTTACAGAGAGGAAGGGAGAGGGATAGAGAGTTAGAAACATCGATGAGAGAGAAATATCGATCAGCTGCCTTTTGCACATATGGGGAATGTGCCTGCAACCAAGGTACATGCCCTTGACTGGAATTGAACCTGCAGCCAATGCTCTATTCACTGAGCCAAATGGGTTAGGGCAGGCAGAATACAGCTCTTTTGAAGTTCAAGGCTGGTGCACTGAACAGTTGTTTCTCTCCTCAGAATGCTTTGCCCTGAGACCCAATTTTCTTTGTAAGCACACAGCTGGTCTCATTGGTTGGCATTACTATTTGTTTTTTCTTGGTTTTGAAAGAAACTTTTAAATAATGAGATTTATTTAATACTTGGAGCTAAGTAATAAGACCAGGGTATTAAGTTTAAAGTCCAACTGTCCCTTACCCATCCTCTGTGTGTTCCATCCTTTCCAAATGCCCTCAGTCAGCTCTCTGGATCAAGAGCATTTGTTCAACCAATGTCTATGGAGCAACCTCTTTGTATGAAGAGGCTCTCACAGGTCCTCATTCCTCAAGAGACAGACAGTTCAACAGAAAACTAGTTTTGCCCTTGTAACTTCTAAAGAATAATAAAGATGGCATCAGGATATATGCTCACTTGTTATTAGAACAAAAAATATTTTTAGATATATAGACAAATTAACATATTTTGAGAAATAAAATATTAAGGCTAAAACACCATATTCATTAGAGGCTCACTTTGGATTCCACACACACACAAAAAAGAGGTACAGAGACCTAAAGTCTTACTCATTTCCTTTAACACATAATCATCATAAATGACAAAATTACAGACATAGAACAGATGCAAAGTGGCAAGGGGTTAGGTAGGGTGGCAGAGAGCATGAGGAATCCTGTGATGGACCTGCTCTTTACCCTGACTGCAGTGGTGTCATACAAATCTACACACAGGATAAAAATGCACAAAAGCACATGTGTACATATACCAATGAATACATGCAAAACTGGTAAATGTGAATAAGGCTGGTGGATTGTATCAATGTCAAATTCCTGGTTCTGGAGTTATAATTATGTATAATAAGATGTTGTTACCACTAGGGGAAACTGGTGAAGGGAATATCGGATCTCTATATTGTTTCTCACAACTACATGTAAATCTACAATTTGTTCAAAAGTTTTTGGTCTTTTTCTAAATCTAAGAGTTATGTGCTTAAAATGCAAAATGCAATCAAGAACTGATAGTCATTAGATTCTAAATTCCCAAGGACAGGGTGTATGGCTCTTTTTATTTAGCACTGTAAATTCGAGCAGCTAGCAGAATGCCTTACACATAGATAAAATATTTGTGGGATGAAAGTGAGAACCTTGAAGATATTCTGTAACAGCAGAAAAGTTGAAATAACTTAAATATTCCACCATAGAGGAACTGTTAGTACACTGTTATGCTAACCATTCATGGCAATATTATTTAGCCATTAAAACTAATGGTTATAAAGATTACCATCCATCATATAATATAAACAAAAACTGTGACATACATCGTGATTATAATTAAGAGCATAAACATTCATATCGGAAAAAAAAGTAATTACTATGTAATAAGAATGGTATTACAGATGTTCCCTCACCCTGACTTTTTCTTAATACTATTATATTTTTGTAATTTTAAAGTAACAATACAATCAGGGACAAGAATGAGAATTTTTTGAATTGTGTAAAGATCTTTCCTTTCTAAACATTCTTTGCTTGTTAATTTTTTCTTGTTATAAAGCATGATACTATCAAAGGAAAAATATATGTATATGTTATAAAGCATATCCTACCTAATAAAAGAATAATATGCAAAAAACCAACATGGAGGCATAAGTAAACAACTAATCTCCCTCCTCACACAACAAATTTAAAACTACAACTAAAAGAGAAAACGTCAGAACCACGGGAAAGCTAGCTGAAAGAGAAAGGAGCACAAGCTCTGAAAAGCTGAAAAGCCTAGGTATGGAGGCACACGAATTGGGCTGGTAGCGGGTGACTGGGTGGTGGCTTTTTTTCAACCAGAAAGGAAACAAGCTCCCGATCACTTTGAAATCCAGTTTCTGGGATCGCACGGGGAACCCATATGCCTACTGAGAGAAGCTGGTCTGTCGGCCATTGGGTCCAAAAGTGAGGGTGACTTTTTTGCAGAGTTACGCACAGCAATCATTGTTTACTGCACTGGAGCGTGGGGACTTAGAAATACGGAAAGGCAGAGACAGCTGACGGCAGCCATCGCTGTTTGCCACACCCCAGTCTAGTGACATCCTGAGGCCCCAACCCACACATTCTACAAACCCGCCCATGCTCCACACAGCTGCTTTTGCATATAAATGGCCTATATTGTGGCAACTTAACAAAATAAACTGCAGCTCCAGCTCCAAAATGGCCAAATCCCAAGCAAAGAGGAGAAAACTGTAGTTCTTGCAGTAGCTCCTGCCGGGTGGCCTCAGGCAGTAGCTGACCTGCACCCCATTGGAGATCCAGAAACTAGTGTATCTAGTGGTCAGTGTGAGTCGACACCAGTCAACTGCTCTCATAAGGGAGACATTCAAGAGGCAGACTCAGTGAGCACCAAAGCCCTACGGGAACAAGTCCTCCTCCATAAACGTGGTTCTAGCACAGAAATTCTTCCACTATAGACACAGCAGGTCCTCACAGCCAATTGGCCTAGAGGTCAATTCTTCCCAGTGACACCAACAACAATCAAGACTTAACTACAACAAGGCTGTACACACAGCCCATAAAGGGGTGCACCAAAAGTGTCCACATCAGGCAACTGGGAGGCTGACCCATTGAACCATATAGGACACCCAGGCCCACAAAGCTACCCTACCAACTCAGGAAGGCAGAGAAAATGCCAAGAAAAGGAAGGAAATCTCAAACAAAAGAAATGGAGGAGAACAAAAGACTGGATATAGAGTTCAAAACCATGGTTATAAGGTTTTCCAAGAATTTCCTAGAAAAGGCTGATAAATTTAATAAGACCCTCGAGAATATGAAAAAGAAATTAAACCAACTAGAAATGAAACATACACTGACTGAAATAAAAAATATTATACAGAGACCCAGCAGCAGACTAGAAGAACGCAAAAATCAAGTCAAAGATTTGGAATACAAAGAGGCAAAGGACACTCTTCCAGAAAAGCAAGAAGAGAAGAGAATCCAGAAATGAAGATAGTGTAAGAAGCCTTTGGGACAACTTCGAGCGTACGAACATCA